ACTTTCACCAGAGCTGTTTCAGTGATATGATGAGCTCTAAAGCCAGACTGAAACTCTTCAAAAAGTTCACTATGGTGTAAGTGATCACACACTTGTTTGGCAACTACTTTCCCAAGAATTTTAGATAAGAAAGGAAGATTGCATAACTATAACTGGCCAAGTCATTTAGGTCAAGAGACAGTTTCTTAAGGTTTAATTACAGCTACCTTAAAAGCCTCCACACAACAGTTAGATTTTTATTTGTAATAACATTATCCACTACAAGGTACTTAAAGATTTAAAACTCAAAAATAGACCTTGTTTTAAAAAAAGAAGTTTATTATCTTTTAAAATGTTTGTACACTCGTTATGACAATGTGCTTACACAATACTTACAGTAGAGTAGGGTGGAACTTACTTTGTACATAGAAAAATAAAAATAAAAAAACACACCATCAACAATTACAGAAAAAAAAAACACATTTACCTCCCTGGTCAGTGAAAAACAAAGAAAACTGAGTTAGACAGGCTGAAGTGGGAACTGCATCAGGAGGACTGAGCTGGTGAGGATGGGGGGGCTTTCTGGGCCCTTCTCTCCTACATACAGCTTTGGTACTTTTTATTTTTCAACACAATATTTACACTTTATTCAAGAAATGATAGTCCTTTTACAAAGTGTTTGCTCATTAAACATTCCCAAAACTATTATTCAATATATTCACATATAAAGCAATTTACATATGTTGGAACTTTGTTTAATGCAAGTTAATGGGCTGAAAAAGCAGTGAGCTAATGCTAAAGAACAAACCTTTACTGTCAACAGTAAAAATATGCTAAATTAATGGAGATCATGGAGCAAAGTCGACCAAGCTAAGGGTCTTGTATGAGAACTAACTAGTAAAAATACCCAAAGCAAAACACATTTTAGCAACTTTTAAAACTGCAATGCTACACACTTTAGTATTCCTGTAAGAATATGAAGCAAAGCAGGTTGGAGAAAGATGGAGATTTAAAAACATCGCCTTGGTTTAAATAGCAAAACAAACAACTTTCATCCCTGCTTAAGCTTCTAACTTGATAAAATCATCAGGTAAATACAGACCTTTCACCTCATGTCCAATCGGCTCGTCCTCAGCTGATCTGTCAGGGAACTGCAAATAAAACTTAACTCCAGTGTGGGTACATCGCTTAGACCTCGGCCTATTCATGCATTCTGAAAACTAAGGAGGCTGCAGGCTTTTACGGGAAAGTAAGCAGAATTTGGACAGCGAGAGCTTGGACCCTTAGCAGCCCAGTTAAAAGCAGCACCAGTGGAAGTGGGCTGGGAAGAGAACATCTGGACTGATCTGTCACTGATTCATTTTTGAACAGTACAAGGGTCCACTTCCTTATTAAATAATCCTTGTTAAGGGCCTGAAAGTATTTAAAAAGTAAAAAAAAGAGGTGATTATCTCAGGAACATTTAAGAACTAAAAAAAAAAAAAAAAAAAAAACATCAAAAAGCTTAAAATGAGACAGTCATTGGACACGTTTGTCTCTGTAGCACCCCTCTGTGTCGTCACGCTCAGGCGAGCCACCTGAAAGTCTGTAATCATGGGGCTTTCTGTGCGTTTCACAAAGCCTGGAGAGATTCGTGGGCAGCAGTGCAAATGCTTCGACATAAATACAAAATGAAAAGAAACTACTTCACTGTCCAGACTGGCCAGAACATACAGGGAGGAGTGAACGGGAAGGCCTCTCCAGTGTGAGCGCGGAGGCAGCAGGGACATCTGTGCCTGGTTCTGGTCAGTACACGTCAGTATCCTCCTTGGGCCTGTACACAGAGCCGAACCTCTGCATGTACTTTTTGATGTATTCCTTAGTCTTGTGCTTCACATTCTCATTGCACTCGAGGTCCTCCGGGTTCTTGCAAGCTTTCAACTCCTTATTCATGACTCCGTGAGTTAGCTGCGACCCGAAGCAGAGACAGAACAGTTATGAACGTTTCAGAAACCAGCAGAATGTAAATTAACCAATTATGATACATAATTACAATGAATCCTGGGAAAGTGGTTGGATCGTTAATCCTCTTCTAGATGCTTAGCTTCTTATAATCTAACAAAGATTAAATTCTCTCTTTAGACGAATGAAGCCAAACTGTTTCATGGATTGTAACCATTTCCTCTGAGTGCTGGTATGTGAGAAGTGGATCCATGCAAACCACAGTGAGCTATGCAACCACTTGAAAAGCACAGAGTGATAAGAGCTAAAAGATGGCAACATGTTGTTATTCTTCTCAGGAAAATTAAGATGAACAAGGATCTGACCTGGATGGAGCGCAGCTATTATATTCTATTATATAACAGTAGCTAATAATAGGCAGAGAATCAACTAATTACACTAAATTCAAATTATTATTTCTCAAGGATTAAAGAGTTCTCAAGCTTTTTGACTATACCTCATATTGATATATGATAGAGGCACAGAAAAACTGAGCATGTTGTGTTTTAAAATTCAATTGGTTCTGTAAATTCTTATTAGAGTTTCAGTTAGTTTTCATTTTAATTTATTTTTTTCCAAGACCTAATCTTTATTTTTAATTTAGTCAACGAAAATGTAGTTTTTTTTTAAATTCTAGTTTTTGCTATTTCTGTAATTTTTTGTTATGATAACCAACTTTGTTGGGTTCTACTCACCTTTCTAGCCAGGTGTTTGAAATCCTCGGTGTTGCTGATGCGTCCAGATTTACAGTCTGGTTTCCGGTAAGGATTTAGGCATTGCACAATAAACTGGGACATCTAGTCGGCACAAAAACGGAATAGAACAAAGAGAACGAAATGAACCGCTGTGGGTAAAGATGGACTTGTCTGCAGGGATATGGCAGCCAGCACTCACCTCTTTGCGAAATGTCTCTTTACTTTTCTTAGCTAATTCACTGGAAGTGTCTGCTTCGGCCGTTTTTGTGGAAAACTGTGACAATAAGAATAAAGGATATTTTTAAAATAACAAAACAGCAGTTATTAACATTTCACTACATCATCCAGAAGGCGTTTCCTATTTTCCCTAAACCAAATCAAACAGATGTGCATAATGCCATCAAACAGCACCCTCCAGCAGCTAGTTTTAATCAGGAGGTATCCTTTCAGGATGCTCCATCTGGGCCTATAGCCTTCAATAACAAAGGAAGGTTTAATGCAGTGAGCCTGTACTAATCAGAGTAGAAAAAGCAGCTACAAAGGATGTAAACACACTGTTTTATGTCTAAGCGATATCAGATTTTAAACGTTATTTTAAGAGTTCCAGGTTTATATACTACAGATAGAAAAGTGAAATATTTAGACATCAGATCAGGAGCGGAAACAGGAAATTGATAGAAGAAAAATAACGAGCAAACTACAAACAGCTTGGTTTCAAAGTTTTGCCAAAAGAACAACGAAGACGGCAAGTGATGTTTAAGTAGGTAAAGCTGCCATTTTCTTTGGCCAGTTTGAAAATCTAAGCAAAGTAAAACATAACAGGGTTCTTCTGTAGGCTGAAAACCATCTATAAGGAATCAAACAAACTAAATAAAACAAAGAGATCAAGCAATGTGCAGCAAAAAAAAAATTTTTTTCTCTGCATGTTTAGCCTGCTGACATTAAGCTCTTATGAATGTATCATATTTTCCAGGCTATGTAGCGCACCTAACTGTAAGTCGCGCCCACAAAATCTTTTGAAAAAAACTGGAACCAAACCTGTAGGGGGAGCTTTACATATTAGCTTGTTGGCTCGCAGCAGTAAGAGCTTCTATTGAAAGTTGGAGCTTCGTCGGCTCTTTATTTTAGATCTGTAGAGGTTGAGCCCTGTCTCTTCATTGGTTAGGCAGCTTTAATGCAGCAAATAAATAACAAAAAATGTGTGAATTCGGGACATTTGTTCTCCGTCATGCCTGCTGCTAGCATGTTCCTGTGCTAAATGAAAATTAGCCCCTTATTCTTTCATTTTCAACTTTGAATTACCCCACTGGCAGTTAGGAAAAATCCACAGAAAAGCTGCATGGTTCAAAGCGTGGGAAAAAGTAGCAGCTTATAGTCCAGAAAATACAGTATTGGTCTATATTGGAAACCTTGTTGAACATTAAGATTTATGTTATATTATGGATGGACAGATTTAAAGGGTGGATAGAAAACCAGGTTAGAGGGTATGATGACTGGATGAAAAGAAAAAATGGATGAATGATGCATAGACTGCTGAACTGATGAATTGAGAGTTTAGAAAAGGGAGAAAGAATAAAGTCAGAAAAACATCTTTTAAAGTTGTTTTTACTTTCCAGATCTGAAGTACATCTGAACTAATTTTTCACCCACATGGGAGATTTGACATCGAATCTTTTAAGCTCTGAGAGTACCCATCAATCTGCTCGACTGCATGATGTGAGGATGTTAATGTCCTCATATGTTTGTTTGGGAGGGAAAACATCTCATCACGTCCAGCTCTAATGTTTCCCTCCAAGTCTTATAGGCCGTTTTTAAAGTAAGCAAAAAGACAGGCAGGGCAGCATGCTTCACCAACACTATAAAACAAGAGGCTGCAAAGAAATGAGCACACAACTCTCCAGATGGCTTCCTTTATAGCCGGAGACGGGAAGAAAACAAAGAGGGAAAACAAACGGTGCAACGGAAGTGAGGATAAGTTCACCCCCCCCCCAAAACCACAAAAATCCCTCCGGCTAAGGGACATGAAGACGGTGGAGTGAATGGACACACTAGGAATTTCTGTCTCCATGTAGGATCTGATGAAGCAATTGTGTGTGTGTTTGTGTGGCGGGGCGGAGCTCATCAGTAAGTTTATAGAAGCCAACTGGGAGCGATCTGAGGCAACAGGATTTTTTTCACTTCCTGTAGAAACAGCTGAAGGTTATTACTGGTGCTGCATCTTCAATTACCCCATAAAACAAACAAACCAATATAATCACACTGTCGCTTTGGAGCAGAATGTTTTTCTGAACCAAACTCTAAAGTGAGGCAGCATTTTAATAAAAAGGAGGAAATCATATGGATTTTCTATTTTACTTTGTAACCAATAGCGGTTATATTAACATGTTATAACAGATGACAATGAAGACTAATCAGTGCAGCACAATTACCCTGGAAGGATTTTCATCATAAGTCGGTGTTCCGAGGTCCATCTCAGACTCATGGTCCACACTGGTGTTGTCAGCATTGCCCTCCCACGTGGGAGGATCCCACTGTGTTTGCCTGAAAACAAATGCAAACATCAGGATCGCAATTTGGGGAAAAAAAAAAAAGCAACACACACACACATAAACCGCTACACCCACCTAGTGACGATGTGGTAGTAGTAGATCTTGCCTTCAGGGTCCCGGGCTACTTTCCAGTTGGGAGGTAGGACGATGGTTTTGGGTTTCGGGGGAGAGGGAGGAGGCAGGTCCATCACATTGTTGGGTACAATCATCTCCTGGTTATAAACACCACAGAATAAATACAGATCAGGAGAAATTACATCAAACTACTCCTATTCAGTTAAAACGATAAAGAAAGCAGCAGAATATTTTATCTCTTTATAGCTAAAACATATAAAACCAGCAGATTAGAGGGATTTCTCTAAAAAAGGGCTAACCAAACATGTTAATCCCTCCCTGACCAAACTATTTACTTTTGAAACCATATGACTGACTGACTGGATTTAAAACCGTATTTACATTGTTGTGGGCCTTTAAGCCTCCCATTACTACCGAGTGGTCTTGTCATTTTACAAAGCAGACAAATGTTTTCATTATTTTGTGCTCACAGAGCTCTGTGTCTTTCTCAAGAAAAGTAGACAACATTTAAATTTCAACAGGTAATTGGCTAGGTCAGTCCTCTGTCACAAATCTCACCTCATAACAGCGTTTCTACTATAGAAGCCATAAATGTAATGTCCCTGCAGATCTATTTACCCCCCATGTTTACAACTAATGTCCAACAGGACTAAAAACCACAATGATTTCATGCAAAAGAAGCACGGATATATGCAACAAAGTATTAAGTATTTTAAAAGATTATTAAAAAAAAAACGCATTATGCATTTGAAAACAAATGTTTAGTCATATACTGCCCCCATATGGTCATACTAATAATTGAACTTACTTATTGCATGTGAATTTTCAGATGAAATAACGATCAATCACATTTAAGGAAATAATGTGTCCTAACGTTAGACTTAAATTAATAAATCACTTTCATGGAAATGATCCTGAGTGATTCATAACAACAAGAGAGGCTTGGCGCACAAGAGGAGCTTTGTATTTAACATGCCTTTCCTCTCAGTCATATTTACGTCATATTTAAGCATTTTGTAAGAGCAAACCAGGCTGAAAGTGTTGAAGATCAACATTCCCTGTAGGACTGATTGGTTTGGTAAATGGTCCTGAAAGTTTACTTAAACAATGAATATACAGACACTTGCAAACATCTTTTTAGCTGAGAATCCAAGAGGATGAAAATTCAGATTAGTTCTTGAATGAGAAAGTAGATCTTGCTTCTTGTTTCATGATGACCTTGATAAGTTCCAAGCTTAAACATGTTCATCTATTGGTTTCTGATAATGAATAATACCTTCCAGGCTGCATACATTTATGCAGCCTGGAAGCAGGTGCAATAAATCCAAAATGACCTCGAGATTTACGCTCATCTATACACAACAAACTGGTTCATTTTAGAGCTGTAAAGAAAACCGCACCAATTAATTGTCAATTAATGGTTTGTAAGTTTAAATTTTGTTCTTTCAGGGTTGTAATGTTACCTATGTGCACTAGAGGGTGCCGATGTATATTCCTAAGCTGAGACTTGATTGTATTTTCCAAGAAAAGCATCATCAGAGCAAAGTCATAGTCTGCAACCGAACCATACTGCAAGCACGATCTGTTATATCATCTCATTTGTGCATCTGCAACCAGATATCCATCCAGGTCGAAATAAATAATGCCATTATGGTACCGAAAGTACTAATCTCTACCCCTAAATCAACAAAGAATGCTAAACTACATCTTATAAAAAATATTTGATGGTGGTCAGAGGGCCCGGTGGCGCCAGTGTACGGCAGCCTCGCTTCTGTCAGTGAGCCCCAGGGCAGCTGTCGCTACAATGTAGCTTGCCACCATCAGTGTGTGAGTGTGTGTGTGAATGGGTGAATGAATGTAGTGTAAAGCGCTTTGATCAAGTCTCCTAACTTGAATAAATGCGCTATATAAGTACATGCCATTTACCATTTACCATTTTCTGAGACAATGGGATGCGTTTTACATTCAGACATGCTCAGATAGAAATATGACTACACCTTGCTTATCAGCATCTTTTCTTTAGAATATGCACTATATAATATAAAGGTAGAACAAAAGGAAAACATAAAACTCAAAAGGAGGACTTGTATGTATAAACCTAAAGCTAAGTGATAAAAACAGAATGGATTTAAACTAATTTATTCTCAGAAAATAAATGACTATCCTGCGCTTAGTATTTTTAGGGAGAGAACATTTTTATTTTGGTCTTTTAAGTAAAAACGAGGCAGGCCTGGATGTATGTCTGCTTGTGCATGAGCAAACGAGCTGATGGTACAGATCATGCTACCGCTACAGATTGGATAGTGACGGGCATGTTAGAGCAGGAACTTAAATCGATTGAGAATCACCTAAATAGCGCCCACTTAGCTGTGCTGCATGACGATGCAGCATCAATATCTCTGCTGTGCTTGGAAGGAACAGCAGTGTGTCAGATTGACATACGGTGTCTTTGAGAGAAAGATTAACATCTCTGTATTGTTAAAATAATAAATGTTTTACAGTTTCAACAAATATTTATTATTCAGCAAAAATATGCCTGATTTTAGGCATGCTTTGATGGCGCAGTGCTTAGCGCACACGACCCATGTACGGAGGCCTTAGTCCTTGACACGGGCAACCCGGCCGGTGGTCCTTTCCCGCATGTCTCTCCCCCCTCTCATACCCTCTTTCCTGTCAGCCTACTGTCCATAAAAATGAACCACTAGTGCCGTAAAAAAAAAAAAAGCCTGATTTAATAATGTCTGGGAAATATTTTTTGTTTATTTAGTCATTATTTAGTACAGATGGCACAATAAATTGAAAGCAGTGCACAGCAGTGGGCTGAGCTCCAACAGTCAGATTTAGTTACAAAATGAACAAAGATTCCTGATTTAAGCATCTGATGAATGGGAGAACTATGAGCTGCTTGTGGAACATTATTCAGGTAAACATCTAAAAAGCATGTTGGTTGTATCATCTGGTTAGAGAAGAAAAAGAAGAGGTACAAAGTCTCAACAAAAGCAACATTAGGAATCTGTCCTGTGATATAATGGGAATTATGAATTGATTGTAGTTATGGCTAGGCCCTAGCTATGGAACATTACTTGTCGCCAACATTTACTGTGTAAAAAAGGAAAAAAACAGATAGGGCTGGGAGCTGTTTTGATTTATAGTGAGAAGACGTGAAATTGAAATAAAAGCAAGTTTTTATACAGAAGAAAAGCAACAAAAAATAAGACTAAAGCAGAGGGGGAGCTGTGGATCTCAACACGACAATAAAATGAAAACCTCCTTGTAAAACATTGCCTACAAAGCCAACAATGGTTCATCCAAGTTGGATGTTTTAAATTTAGATCAGACATATGCTTATAAAAAAATAAAAGACAGAGAAACTGAAAGATACAAGAACCTTAGACTGAGAAATAAGGAAGAAAGTATCGTCTTGAGCTTGTTGCTTTAAATGAAAAATTGTTTCTCATTGACTTACAAAGATAATTTACAGAAGTTTAGACAGGCTGTTCTTCTGAGGATTGAATCGTATAAAGTTAAGAAATATAATTTGAGATAATCTTTCGCAATGTGATCCAGAGGCCTACTTCCTATTCAAGGCATAAAAGTAAGCAATTGAACCCATTAATTCAAAAAGCTCCTCTAAGGCCAAGCGTCTTACCTGTTGGACAGTTTGGGATGTGACGATGGTGGTGACTGTTCCTCCCTGCTGTACCACCACACCCTGCTGGTGACCAGGATACACCGGCTGGCTGTGCAGGTAGCTGGCTGTGGGCTCAGTGTAAGCCTGGAGACAGAACAAATCCAACACTCAGACTTTAGCTGATCATGTGTTACTGTTTGTGTTGGACTGAGCTGGTGCGTTCAGCTAAAGCTAAAAAATGAATTTAGAAAGATGCAGCAATACGTCACCATCCTGACCAATAGACGGATTAAAGACAATAGTATTTTTAAGTTCCATTAAAGAGAAAAAAAACTTTGCACAATATATTAATCTATATTTATATGTTTTGGGAAAAGAAAGAATTTTATAAATTATTTAAGACAGTGACATTCTCATTTGGATTAATACCTGAATGACAGGAGGGTTGGTCTGAGGGTAGGCAGTAGGGATGCTGTAGATGGTCTGGCAAGGCTGGCCCTGGTAATAGATGGCTGTCTGAGTCTGAGCCGGTCCCGGCGCTGTAGCGTACTGCTGCGCCGGCTGGGTCTGTACCGTGACTGCTTGCTGGGTGGTGGGATCCCAGAGGGTGGCGTAGCTCTGCTGGCCTTGTACCTGAGGGGCCGTCTGGGCTGGGACAGAGAGCACAGCTACTCCTGCCTCCTGGGTTGCTACAGTTGGCTGCGTGTACTGCTGGGGGTTAACAGTGGTGAGGTTGGTGGTGGTGATGTGCTGGGAGACGTCAGAGACTGGAGGGGCCTGGGAGGTGGAGGATGGAGAGGGAAGGCTGAGGTTTGGGGCCAGGCCTTGAGGAGGTGTCTGTTCATAGCTGAGGCCCGGATCAACAGGAGGGGTGGGAAGAAGGACCTTTCCGGCATTGGGATTGGTTGGGTCCACAAAAGTCTGTATAGGGTATCCAGGGGGATAGGTGATGAAACCGGGGCTAGAGGCATAGGCCAGCGGATCGTAGGCCAAAGTCTGGAGCTGCTGCTGCTGAAGCTGCTGTTGTTTCTGAGCTTCCTGCTGAGCAACTTCCTGTTCAAACAACTTTCTGCGCTCCTCCGTAGACAGTTTGTTGCGTTCCTTCACCCCAGCTCCTCTCTGGGTCTTGCTGCTGGAAGAATCAAACCTTAAAAATGGAAAGAATTAAATTATAGCTGAATGCTTTTTCTAAAATTATACAAAGGTCTAAAAACAAATGATATACAGCAGCTATGATTAGCTGCAAGCCATGTTCATCACCATGTTTAATAAACCTACACATGAACTACTCTTTTTCATTCAGTTAATTTAGCAAATTTGTCATTGATGTATAGATTCAGATGCCCACCGCTCCTCATTTCGCCTGCTGCTCCTCTCGTACGGTAAAGGAGGTGGAGACAGCGAGCGTCTCCTGCGCCGCTCAGAGCTGCGGGGGGTTTTGTCTGATGGTCGATCCCGATCCCGGTCTCGGCTACGCTCTCGGTCTCGGTCCCTGTCTCTATCGTAATCTCGCTCTCTGTCTCGCTCCCTTTCCTTCTCCCGCTCTCTCTCACGTTCCCGGCTGCGGGAGGTGGTGCGTGGCGCCAAAGCCAAGTCGCGATCACGGCTCCGATCTGCCAGGAAATTTGAAATCTGTCAAATGAAATCCTGTTCCAAAAATAAAAAGAATTTAAGATGGGTTGTTTCAGCTCTTACCTCTGGCTTCCTTCTCCACCTGACTCTTCTTTGGTATCCTGTACACCTCCTAAAAAGACAAGTTGAACCTTAATATTTCAGGACAGAGAAGAGAAGGCCGGTTTGACTTTAGAAGTGCTTTGATCTTTTCTAACCTTCAGATCCTTCCAACTTTCCAGAAGCCTGGCAGCCATGCCACTTATGTCCAGAACACTGAGTTGGGGCTCCTGGCTCCTCTCGCTCTCCACATCGGACAAACCTTCTTCTTCATCCTGAGAGGGCGTTCCTATTGCCGACGGCTCTACCTGCATTGGCGTTGCCTCCGTGGGCAAAGGTGCCTCTGGTGCCTCAGAGTTTGGTGGAGCCTTAGTGGCAGAGTCCCCTGGCTGAGACTCTGAACTGACACTCGGCACTTTCTCAGCCTCCTGTGCTTCTTTGTGCATCTCCTTCCTCTCGGATGGCTCCTCAGTTGGAACATCTACAGAAACAGTTTGGCTGGACTGACCTTCTGCCTCTTCCAATTTAATGGAGGATAGCTCTCCTTCTAATTCAGCCTTTTCTGGCTCTTTTTGAATTTCTGGCTTTTCTTCTCCCGCCTGCGTTTCACAGAGAACCTTTGAGGTTTCTGTTTCATCTGATGGACACTTTGTCTCCTTGATTTTCAGCTGAGTCTCAGCTTCATCAGATGGACACTTTGTCTCCTTGATTTTCAGCTCAGTCTCAGTTTCATCAGATGGACACTTTGTCTCTTTGATTTTCAGCTCAGTCTCAGTCTCAGTTTCATCTTTCATCTCCACGTCTTTAGGTTCCTGTAGACTGCTTGAACTTGTTTCCGACTCTTCCTGGTTTGGCGCATCTTTCCCAGACTCCTCCACAGACTCTTTTATTGGAGCTGGAGCTTCACTCGACTGTTCTTCCTTCAAACCTGCTCCATCTGGAGGATCTGTGTTCAGGGTCTCGGCTTCCTCCTCTTCCTCTTCCTCCTCCTTCCCGTCGGATGCTTTGCTAGCATCTGAGAGAGCGCTGTCCAGACTGTTTTCACTGATGATCTTAAGGCGTCTGTAAACAGCGGGTTTAGAAGTGTCACCGTCCAATTCGGGAACCATTTTGGCAGAGGAACCATCAGGGGTGTTCAGAGGGGTTTGGGCCCGGGAGGTGTTCTCACTGGAGTAGCCGTCCATCTCAGTCTGCTGAGGCAGGGTTTTGGTCTGAGCCCACCGCTGGATGAGGGTCAGGACTTTACTCTCTTCAAGCATGTTCTTGGTGGAGATGGGGAGCACAGCCAGGGTCTTCATGATCTACAAGTCAATAGTATTGATACTCAAACGCTGTATCCAGATAGAATACTAATTTGTCATGGTATCGATACTAAATACAAGTTTTGTTTGCATATTTTAGCCATTTTCAATTTTTGATGTGATTATTTTCACATTGATAGAATATAACCTCTAACAAACTTTAAATCTTGTCAAATTGTGTTATATTTGGCCTATCTATTTTGCAAGTATTTGCACACTTATTTCACTACTAAAATGTATGATTCTGCAAGTAAGCAGGATCAATGTTAAGAGTGAAAAGGGCTAGATTTTCATGTAAATCCATAATTTAATTATTAGGCATTTGTTCCAATTTTCTTGGGTACTGTTATCGAGTTTGGAATTTTGGTACTTAGCATAGTATTTAGGATTTGAGGTAATGTTCTGTACATAACAATTTGCAAGTTTATAATCTTTCACAAAGTTAATCCTGAATCTCACCTCTAGCTGCAGTTTGGTGTTATTAGCACTGTTGCCTTTAGACTCAGAGAGCTCCACCATAAAGATCCACAACAAGGACAATCCATGATGATCCAAGAACTGCTTCAGACAAGATGGATTCTGGGTGTCCTGTGCAGCAAAAAAAACAAAAAACACCCCAAAAATATTTGGCATGCTGGAGGGATTTCAGGGATACATGAGAATAAAGCATCAGCGATGTGTGCTGTACTTGTATGAGCTTGAGACAGAGGAGTTTCTGCTCCATGGTTTCCACTCGGACCATCAGTCTGCACAGAGACACCACCTGTTTCTCATCATACAGCCCTTCTCCGTTCTCCAATAACGCCTCCAGCTCCTCATCCACCTGTGAGAGAACATAAGCTTCCACTTAAAATATAACTGAAACAATTTTCCTGAAAAAATTCTATTTCCCCAGGAAAAACCAGCAAAACATGGTTGAATCAGAGAGGTTTAAGAATGGTTATAAGGTTGGTAAACTGACCGTGGTCAGGGCGTTCTTTCTGCTGCGGTCTTTCTTCATCTTGCCCCCAGCGGCTCGAACACTAACTCTGTTCTCCCCACCAAGGAAGCCTCTGCAGCTGGGTGCCCCACAGAAGCATTTCTGAGCTTCTTTTCTGCAGCGAAAATAAAAGCAAAGATATATTCCTCTTAATTATAATGTGGAGAATAATGACTTTAACATATGCCAAATATTTTGAACACCATATAAGAAGGGCAACATAAGGGGAATTTTTACCCGTATCTCTGAAACTGGTAGTCAAAGGTTAGTTCAGTTCCTGCAGTGACAGCCTTGGTGGTGAAGAACCCGACTCGAAGTTGGCCATTAACAGTCCACTAGAGCAAAATTGTCAAAAGAAATAATTTTAGATAACAGAACTTTCGGAAGAAGAAAAAAACTGACTCAAGAGACGTTTTCCTTCAGTTTCTGTACCTTTTGCGTCTCACAGTTCGGCTCACAGCTGTGGTTCATGAAACGTGAGCAATTACCCTTCAATGTTGCATCAATAATCTGCAGAGCCAAACACAGCAGCAAGTAGATTATCATTTCGTTCTTGTAGGTACCGGTCCCCTTCAGGTCCATCCAAACTCACCTCATTATTCTTTAGTGCCATGAAATAATAGTGGATGTTCTTGTTGCGAGCATATTCTTTAACCCTTGCTTTGAACTCTTTGTGGTCCAACACTTCGCCACAGTATTCCAGAACAAATGTGTTTCTGAGATTAAATGAAAACCAGATGATAGTTTCAACCTCAAATGCAAACCTTAACTAATAAAGCATCACAATAGATGCTGTGATCTTAAAAAAAATAGATAAATAAATAAAAGTAAATAAAACATGCAAAACAATAGAAATAAAATCTTACGGAGCCAAGTCTCTAGCAGCACGCAGTCCCCAACCTTTGTCTTCTGTGAGAATGACCTCAAAGTCTGCATGCTGCTTCATCTGAAAGCGACGGTTCGAGCAATAGCCTCCATTCAAACACCGTGAGGAGCTGGGAAGAAATTAAAGGAAAAACTGATGCAACAGCATGAAAAAGTTCCTATTTCTACCGCCACAGTTTTTTTGACTTCTGCCATGTTTATTTATTTTAAAATCACATTTGATCTGGTGGGAATTTTTACGAATTTTCCCGTCTGACACCAGAATTACTTATGACTAAAATCTGCTTGAGTGCGGTGTGTTGTGGTTGCCGTGTAGCTGATCAAACCTGTTACACCCACAGCTTTTCATAGTCATGTGTGGAATCTCAGGTTTTGAAAAGCAACAGACGATTTGAAAAACTTGCTGTGTGAATCCGGCATATGCACATATGCCGGCACAATGACGACACTATAACTTAGAAAAAAAACATTTCTTGATGAATATATTAAAGCAGAAATAAACTGTTAAGTTCGGCCGATATTTTTTACTTGAATTGACAAATATGTGGATGAGAGAGCACATAAACTGCATGCCGTGCAGCTCCCTCCATTTGTTATCCTTTTTTAATTTTTTCTTTGAATTGTTGATAAATGTTCCAGTAGCACATATCAAGAATTGGTTAAAATGATCAGCTCTGGCCTTGAAAAAAAACAAAACAAAAAAAACCCCTGAATCGATCAATCTCTATCTGAAAGACCTAAGAAAGAACTGAGAATAATTTCTTACAACGTAACCAGTTTGTTTGACTCACTGGAAGCTAGAGAGATTTGAACTGGTTTTATGAGAAATATTTTTCTTACTAAGGATTTCAAAGTTTACAAAAATGTCCCCTTTAAAGCAAAATTCTTCTAAGGTCTACAAATTAAATCATTAACTACCATTCAATCATCAGGAGGCGGTTTAAACAGTCCTCCCCGCAGGCCATCACTCCTTTTGCACGGTCCTCTCGTGACAGTACCGGGCACTCGCACTGCATCCTCTTTATATCTCGATGAGACTTGCTTTTCTTTCTGCAAGAGATGTTAAAATTTTTCATCAGATAAGCTTTAAATAATCTGAGAATGTACTGATCAAATGTTACTATGACTTACAAGCTTACCTCTCAGTTAAGTACATGTTCTCCTCAATCAAGTCAAAGTAAGGTGGCATCTTTTTCGTTTTGGCCAAGTCTTTCCATCTGCTGGCATCCTGAAAGTTGCGTAGAGTGAGCGATGGTCTATCCACCTCTGTCTTTGCAGGAGCTTCCTTAGAGACGGGGGCGTCTCTTTGGCGCTCCTTTTTCCTCGATGGTCCAGCTTCAGCCTCGTTGTCCGAGTCCGACTCGATTTCCGGACGCCTTTTCTTGGGCGGTACTCTGCCTCTGTGGGGTCTGGTGTTGTCCTCTCTAGGTGGGTCAGGTACAGCAGAACCCCTGCTGTTGCTGCTAATTTCGTGACCTTGCACTGAGCTAGCTGGCCCTGGAGTGTTTAGTGCTTTACTGCGACTCAATGAGTTTTCAGCCCTATAGTCCTCATGGTCATTAGTGAGGGAGTCTGGGTGTATTTCACTCGAAGGTTCCTGATAATGTTCATGTGTTTGGAGGTAGGGTATTTTGATAGTTTGTGTGTTTGGTGACTGATGTGTACCGGATGGAACAGTAAGTCTCCCATCTTGCTCCTTAGAAGCGGCTGCTGTTGCTTTAGTGTTTAACAGGGGCCCATGGCTGCTATCAGGCTGCTGGCATGTGCTGGTAGGCTGCTCTGGTTGAGAAAAATCCCACCCTGCACTGAAACTCATCATGTTGTTGACACTATCAGAAAATGTATTCGGTTGGTACTGCAGGTGCACCTGCTCTCCCTGGTTCAGACCTTGGTCTTGTTGTCTAGAATCACCGAACAAAAGGGTGGGATCTGTCATACCTCCTTGGGCACCGTTAGGACCAGCTGCTGATTGCTGACTGTTGATGGCACTGGAACCTTCTGAGTGACTGGTGCTATCAATCATGTTGCTCTGGGACTGACAAGGCACACCCATATGAGGTGACTCAACTAAATTAGTAGTGGTGGGCTGTGTTTGCTGTGCGCTAACTTGGTTGGCTGTTCCCATCTGGATGTGGGGCTGATCTGAAACATCTAAAGGACAACACGAAGAGGTCTGTGCATTTCCAATGTCTTTAATAAGGGATGAATGCTTGGGTACTACTACCACAGAGTGAAACTGTTTCATAGCTTTGTCACAGTCTGAGTCATACTCTGAGTTATCGCTGTCACTGGCATCACTTGGCATTGCTAACGCTCCCTGACTGATGGGTGTTATCATACTTGATTTGCTTCTGGGAGTACTCTCCTGGGATTTACTCTCGCAGGCATCACTACTCTGGATGTGATTTAATGCAGCTGAGTGGATCTGGGATACCTGATCATTAAGAATTGAGGGCTTATTTAGGTTTGGTGATTGAGGCATACAAGGATTTAGGCCAAAGACGTCAATGCTGGTTCTTGCTTGTGAAGGCTCACATACTAAAGAGACGTCCGGCCCCGGGATGGAATGTTTAGACTCTCTGGATTGAATATTGAATTTACTGTCCATGTCTTGTTGGGTACAATCTTCAGCAATCTCAATTTTTGTCACTTTTTTGGGACTATGATTATTTTCTGAACAAGCGGCCTGGTTTAAATTGTCATTTTCAAACAAGTCCTGCCCAACAATGTCCCAACGAGACTTTCTGGTAGTGCATGTACTCTTTTTAGCGACATCCTTACTTTCCAGTCCTTCCACCGGCAGATTTTCGGTTCCTAGATGGGAGAAATCCAATTTGTGAGGGTCAGATTGCTTTTCATCTGCCAAAACTTCATTGGGTTCAACAAACTCTGTATTAGTGTCTTGCTGGATCTCAAGTGTGACATTCATTTCTTTAGCATCAAGAGAGGCATTCTGGACTTTGTTATTTTGTTCACAGCTTACACTACCTTCACTTTTAACTGAATTTAAAACTGGATTTAAACTCAAATCATGCTCGCCATCCTTCACATTGCACACATTTTCCAGAGTGATGGTTATAGGCTTTAAGTTCTCAATCAAGGGAGTGGCTGAGGCATTTTCTGTTTCAGATTCAAGTACTGGTATCTCTTCTTGCTCATTCTCGCCTAAAGACTCTTGCAAACTTTTTTCAGTGGATAAGAACATCTCTTTAACACCCTGATCGCCCTGTAAACCCTCACTTGGCTCCGATTTGGATTTTTCCTTTTCTGTCAGAGGATTAGATTCTACTGTGGTTGCACACAATGGTGCTTTGGTAGGACTGTGAAACGAGTCATCTGACTTTCTGTGACGTCTAGGGGATTTCATATAGGATCTAGAGGGGGTTACTCGTTTTGATTCTGATCTACTAGTTTTCTCGTGAGAGTCTCTACTTTTTTCCAAGGAGCTTGTATTCCTTTCGGAAGGCTGACATTTTGCCTTATGTTCTCCCTCAGAATCACCAGAGCTGTTTTTCCTGTGCTTGTCGTGCGACTGTGACTTGTTGTGTGTACTGGAAGAAGAGGATTTGGCACCAGTGTCAGATTTGTAATGACTGCTAGATTTGCGGGAACTGGAGTCCAAATCAGGAGAGCACCTATGTTGAGAATCAGAGTCTGAGGAACGCTTTGAAGTCTTTTCTGACTTTGACGATTGCATTCTTCTATCAACCTCTGAGGAGTGCGGTGACTCCAGAGATTTTGAACATTTCTCGGATCTTGAGTAGGAAGATGATTGTGATGCTTTATGTGAGCTGGAGTAGTTGGACGACCTGCTGGAACCACTAGTCCTCGTCCTTGTTTTCCTGTGGTCGTCCTCAGAGTCAGAACTGTAACGGGTTCTTTCGGTCCGGGAGCGAGAGCGTCTTTTCTCCCTGCGAGGAGAACCCCTGTGGGATCGTCGCTCAGATTCATGATAGTATGATCTGTCAGACCGAGACACTCTGTCACACCTGGATCTCTCAGATTTGGAGTGAGACGAACTTGTTCGAGAACCTCTCGATCTAGAGCGTGATCTCGACCTGGACCTCCTGCGATCCTTGTCAGATCTAGATGAGCGAGAAGTTATTCTTGAATCGCGGTCAGATTTGGAGTAACTTGAAGACCTTTCATGATTCTCTGTGCGCTTGGAGGAAGCTTTCTCCTTTTCCCCACTACGTGAACCAGAGGAAGATCTTTTGGCCTCTTTGTTCCTACTGTCAGAGTTTGCTTTGCTTTTCGAATCATCTGATTTGCGACTGGAAGACGTGTGGGTTAAGTCTCCATCAGATTCAGAGCAGGGAGGAGCACTGTCTGACTGTGACCTGGTTTTCCTTTTGTAAGAGTTGTGATCCCGATTAGCAGGGCTAGAACTATCATCTTCTTTTCCGGAGGAAGAAAGGGGTTTATTGATGTTGGGATCTTCTTTTGTCTCAGAGGCTTCAGTGGCTGCCTCTTTAGAGGGGCTCTCATTAATGATGGTCTCACAAGGGGGAGTGGGAAAGTCAGTTTCACTCTTGGAGTCTGGTAAAACCTCTGATTCAGAGGCGAGCATCTCCTCAGATGTAACAGGCTTCAGTTTCTCTTCAGTAACAGAATCACTGAGAATTTGCCTCTTGAAAGGCATCTTTGCCACATTCTTTTTTAGTCTAGTTGAAGAAGAGACAGGTGTTGGAGAATGTGTCTCTGGTGTAGACGACGGGACCGAAGCCGCCTGCTTTTGCTCCGTTTTGTTTGCTGTATTCTTTCCGACCTTGTCCAGGATCGACTGTGAAGAGGCATTGTGAGGCTCAGAGATGCCCGTTTCAGGATTTGAAGATATGAAGAGTGAAGTTTGCAGTGGCTTTTTTGTCTGCGAAAAGCTGAAGGACACTTTCTGACGACCCTGATCTTCCAGGTTGACCCTCATCTTGGTTCCTTTTGGCAAGAGATGGTTGGAGAGCATGACTCTGGGAGACAAGCTTTTAATCAGAGCTGACGTGGACAGACCCTCCACCTTCACCTGCAGGGAAAAAAGCACACAACCTTATGCCACAAACAATATAAACAAAACAATCAAAGTGCTGTAATTGTCAAAACTATAAAAACTATTAATAAGGGTTAACTTACAGACTCAGCACTCCCTTCCTGTCTGTGTTTAATAAGAACATAAAGAAAAAGAAAAGGAAAAAGCAAAAATATGAGACCATATTCACAAAAAAGGTAAAGCCTGCAGTGCTCACACCAATTCACTGAATGTTGACATGTACCCGAACAAGTCTTCTACATCAACTGCAAATGACTTTAACATTAAACCACTTTCCTAAATATAGGCAAGATAACCTTGAAAAAAATAATAATAGTCTAACATATGCTTTTGAAAGAGGAAACTGAAAGCCAACCAGCTGCTTCCAGCCTACATAATGGTTTTAGATTGGACTTTTTAAGTCATTCAATTATTTCCTCCTCCCTCCGTGAACATTAGACTACGAAGCTCAGCAAGAGAAAAATAAAATGGAGAACAGTGTGTTAAAAGTTAAACACTGATTTTAGGACTGCTATGCTTTTTTAGACCATTAGACTGCTGAATATTGTGCAAAATGGGTTATTTTATTTATAGATTAAAAAAGGGTTATTTTATTTATTTAAAAAAAGTTAGAACTGTAAATATACAGTCATGTTTATATTACTATTTTTTATTTTTTTTTTGTATTTATTACTGTTTTTCAAGGCTGCACTTTGAAAAAATGAAATTGTCTAGAGCAAAATTTATTTTGTATTCACTCGTGTTTAAAAAATGACAAATAAATCTGTCTAAGTCTTTTTTCATACCAAATATACACATATAAAATGTAAATAAAACAAAACAAATAAAGGGAGGGAGTAAAGGATGATCAGGTGGATGGATGGACAACTAAATTAGGTCAGTGGTTTCTGCAGTTAGTACGTCTTTATAGAACCTGATGACATGCTGGTGAGCCAATTAATCCAACCGACCATATCTAAAACATGCAGCATACAAGCTCCTAAGGACTAACTTTGGACATTGCTTAATTAGATAGTGAACAGACGGACTGGTGGCCAGCTGGAACTTTATGAAATTGATATTTTAAAAAATTAAGCCCTCAAGAATAAATCTGTTTGTCACATTTCCAGAGCTTGAAATCACAGTTTTAAGAATGTATAGAAACACAAAAATTAGCTCTGAAAGCTTTAACCAGAACTAAATCCCTTTAATCAAGTGATTAAGAGGCTTTCTTCATGTGAATTTTTGTCTTCAGAATGTTCATTTCACATTGATTAGATCTGATTATTGAGAAATCCAATGCAGAACATCTCAGTTCTTTACCTTCACAAACTCCAAGACAGCTTTTTCAGTTAGGCCATTGTTCAGCTGCAGTGAAGCACTGTCTTCAATTTCGCTGAATTTGGATTAATCTGAGCAGACAGTATATAATAATACACTTTAAAATTCATTCATAAAGAAAAAAGATCTAATAGTAAAACAAATAAGTAGCTCCCAGTTTGAGTGCCATTTATTTTCATCTCAATCCCTTGCCAGACGAACAAGCCTAAAGAGTCTTTATTTAAATGCTAAAAAAAAAACAGATCTAGTGTTTGTACTAGTTTTGCCCGAATAACAAAACGCCATTCATCAAATTATACCACAGCTAAGAGAGAAATGCTGAAGCCATCAACTGTGGTTCCAATTCATCGAATTTGAATAAACGATTTGCATTGTGTTAAAATGTATGTGCTTCTCTTCGGCTAGGCTTGCAAACTATGAGCAATGTGTGGGTTATTTATTGCACTTGGTTTTCATTTTTTTTCCTCTGACCTCAAAAATCAAATGTTTCTGCTGAAGCCATGTAGTCAACATGTTAAGTCAACTTAACATCAAATTGGATCTTCTGCTATTTAAACCTAACCCTCTGCAAAGAGAACACAACTATGTCAATTTCAAGTGAATAAACAAACACTAAAACTCTGCTGACACTTCAATATGGTAATTCAACAGCATGTTCTTTGTCTGAAACAAACTCTATAGCCTGAAGGTTTTATTCATGACTTGCATACTTATTTCTTGTTCCACCTGCAGTTCCATTGTACATTTCTATAGCTTGCAGTATTTTCTTCTCACTGACTTTGATAACCCTCAGCTGATTTGGGAGCCCAACAAAAAAAACACTCAAGACAGAACAATACAAAACATCAGACTTGAGCAGTGGAGTGAGGACATCAAAACAAACAGGCAAAAACCTGACAGCAAGGAGATGACCAGGCTTTCATAGAGTTATATATTGATATAACAAGTTTCTGCTGCATTGTACCTGAGCTCTGACTTCAACAGAGTGTCCATGGAGAAACACGCCTGTGGTTAGTAGAGCTGAAGAGGCTGCTGCATGGGAATAATCCAAATCAGAGAACTGGGGCCTTTAAAGTGACGCCACACCTGACAGGAAGAAAAGATCCAATTTATTCTAAAATGACATTTTGGAATATCTGATAAAATTATACAATTACAACAAAAAGTGAGAAACAAAATGTGTTTTATGCTAAATAAACATTACACCTCAAACACAACAATTAGATAAATACACCTCTGAATGGGCACTTTTAGCAACACAATTGAAAAATGCATTTGTGGGTATTCGTCCCATAACTTTTATTTAAGGCTGGGCAATAAATCTAGGCAAAGTTGATATTATGGCTGACTTATATGTAAAAGTACAAAGGTTATGTTTTATTGGGTTAGAAGTTTAATTCTCTCTTCTTTTCTTTTTTTAACAAAACGAAAGGAATTTATTTGTATTTTCATTCTAACTTGTGTCGTTATAAGATTAAAAATAAAACATGACATTTGTAAAGATCAGGAAAATATTTAGCGGACAGTTAAAACCACCCTTCTCACTAATATTTCTCTCCAATGACTCCATTGATTTTCCATTAGTCAAATATAGCTTACATGGGGTGCATTGCCATATTATCATTATGATGTTCATGAAGTCAAGGACATCAGGTTGTGGCTGTCGAGTCTCTGAAGTTTCTACATGACATGTAGGGATAAGTGGTCATGTGATGCAGAAAGGGCTTTGATTTGGCGATTGTTTTTTTTAAGCGATGGTTTAAAGAAGTTTCTTCAACTTACTTTTTCAGACCTACGTGTATACCTGTACATACACCTATCCTGACATATACTTTGGTGGCTCAAAACCTGAATAAGCAATAAAAAAACAGAAACAAAACAAAATAAATAAAGAGGAAGAGACTGGATGTCCTGTACCAGAACATCTTTATTAACTTTACAAATTAAAGGAATAGTACACCCAAAACATGATTAGCCTTCATTTTCTACTCACCCCCATGCTGAACAAAACCCTGGAGTACTTTTTTGATATCTCAAATGCATCTGGAGATCTGGGAGGCTTCTTGCTGTCTGCTGACATTCAAATAATGAAGGTCTATGGTGCCCGAGGCAGAAAGGTCCATAAAAGTCCACCAAAAAACGTTTTAATATTCCTCCATACTGCTTTTCCAATGTATTCCAAGTGTCCTGAGTGGGTAGCATCCAGAATTTACTCGAAACGAAGTCATTTAGAATGTTTTTAGAGCATAAACAGTAGTGTATAGGATTTCCTGAAAGCGCGCACCTGCGCGATCCCGACGCTACGGAAGCCGGCAGACCAAACCAGCGCATTCAGCTCGGCAAAGAACTCATGCTCTTCCTCAACACTGAAGTCCTCAGACATTTTTCTTTCGTTGTTTCTTTCTTTGCACAGGTAAACGGCACATTTCTTCTTCTACGCTTGCATTATTGGAAGAGCAGACGCTGAATGCGCACTTTCATCTGGTTTGGTCTGCCGGCTTCCGTAGCCTCGTGATCGCGCATGTGCGCGCTTTCAGGAAATCCTATACACTACTGTTTATGCTCTAAAAACATTCTAAATGACTTCGTTTCGAGTAAATTCTGGATGCTACCCACTCAGGACACTTGGAATACATTGGACGAGCAGTATGGAGGAATATTGACACGTTTTTGTGGACTTTTATGGACCTTTCTGTCTCGGGCACCATAGACCTCCATTATTTGAATGTCAGCAGACAGCAAGAAGCCTCCCAGATCTCCAGATGCATTTGAGATATCAAAAAAGTACTCCAGGGTGTTGTTCAGCATGGGGGTGAGTAGAAAATGAAGGCTAATCATGTTTTGGGTGTACTATTCCTTTAAGAACCCTATTTCAAGCTAAAAAAAAACAAAAAACAAAACAAACTTGCAAATAATTCTCCATCCCAATTTGGTTGCAGGACTGAAAACATAATAAACATATCTTGCTATCTTAATGTATAATTTTTGTTGCTCAATACTACTTTATAAACTTGCTATATTAAAACTTAATTGAAATAAATAAATCATAAAATAAAACAACTAATTGAGCTTTTTTGTGTTAACATAGTTAGAAATGTGTTACTATAAGTAAAAAAAAAATGCAAGCCTTTTTTTTTTTTAACAATTTATTAAACTAATGAAAATTGAATGGTATTATACTGGCATGTTATGTTTGATCAGGACTTGTCATTTGGATCCCATATCAAACACATTTGTAGAATTTCCTTCTTTCATCTCTGGAATATTGAGATTAGTACATTTGTTTGTTCATTTGTTATTTCAAGACTGGACTGTTTTAACTACAGTTTCTCAGGAAAGGCTTCAGCTGATCCAAAATATTAAGCCCTATGTAAGAAAAGCAGTCTTATATCAGCGATTTTACTTTACCTAATGTTACTGACAAAGCACTTCGCTCTCAATCTGCAGGTTTACTAGTGGTTCCTAGAATTTCTAAAAGTAGAATGGGACGCAGATATTTTAGTTATCAGGCACCTCTCCTGTGGAACCAACTACCAGTTATAGTCTGTGAGGCTTAGCTTTGTTTTTTTTGTTTTTTATAAAGCTTACAGTTAGAGTACCATCAACTACCATCAACACCTTCAATTATAAATGATAGAGTTTGACCTATTTTATACCATTTAGTCCAGTTTCTTTTCCAGATATAGCTTTGGGCACTGCTTTTACTAAATGTATGTACTCTCTTTCAGGATGAAAACTAGCTTAGAACTCGTCTTCTTAACTGTTTCGTTATTAGATTGATCCACTTGCGTTGCTGTTTTATGTTACCTTTTCTAACATGGAAAGTGTTTATGGGTGAGTGCTTCTATGTTCTGCTTGTATCCCCTTTAACCCCAGTCGGCCTCAGCAGAAGGCCACTCTCACTGAGCCTGGTTCTGATGGAGGTTTCTTCTTGTTAAAAAGGAGTTGTTTCCTCTCCACTGTACCTGCTCGGTGAGAGGGATCGCTGTACAGTCAACAACATAATGCAAGCAAATGTGTACTGTTGCCACATGCTCATCTAGGAGTGCAACCAGATGATTTTCCTTAGAAAAAAAACTTGACAAATCTAATTGAATTGTCTCTTCAAAGTTCTTTGCGATGGCATGTGTTGTGCATTGGTGCAACATAAAGAAACTAAACTGAACTGTATAAAAAGTATGCAGCCTTTAAAAGAACATTCTCGTGTCTCCATGCCAGATTTTATTTATCTGTTCTTGAAGTGTTTTGGGGGATTAATCTAAAACCCAAGCACACACATGGCTGCATGAAGCCTTAAACACTTTTACACGAAAACACTCAGTGATGAACAGCACTTTACTAACCCTAAAAACAAACCTTAAAAACCGAATCTCTACATTAATATCCAGCTTGTTTGAAAGGAAATTTTCAGATCTAAGGGCAGCATGGCCTGGACTGGGGGGGAGTGGGTCCATCCAAAACATGGCCTTTAAAAGGAGCGAAGTTTCCGATGTGCTAAATAAATCATGTCAAAAAGTGGGTAAATAACCTTAATATATATTACATAAAATTGTTTTAGTTTAGACAAATAATAGGAGTAACACTTTAATTGTGAAGGTAGGATAAGTATATCAGTCAATCTAAACAATCTTGGCCATCTTCAGTAAGCTAGCATAGCAGCGGCTAGCATCGCATCGGCTCGGGAACATAGTTTGAGCGATTTGTTAGCTCAATATATTTCCCTTAGATTTAATCTGTTAATATTTATATACAGGACACTTTGGGGGTTCACCTGCTCAGCTGCGCGGTAAACATAAACATTGAGCAGAAATGCAGATCGACGGTATATCAATCATAAGCTAGCGCGAGCGATGCTAGCTTCTTCTGGCAATTAGCACTAGCAGTTTGTATGCTAACGTGGCTATTATACGCTAATTTTGCCAGTATTTTAAGATGTAATTATTACTTCACGAGACAGAAAGTGTAATTTCCCCAAACACCCGAGCTCATTATCTTCACAATTTAAAGTTGAACATGGATACTTTAACCTAAAGGTATATGTTAACCCGGCTTAGCTCACATGCTAACTGTTGTTTTGTTGTGTACTCACAGTTCGCACAAAGTGAAGCAAACAGATAGCTAAAAATTTGATCACAATACTCACTTTATGAAGTTATTACGTTTACAAGGTTCCCCCATCCTAAAAGTTATCAATCATCTCCTTGTGAAACATTAAGCAGCAACGCATGCAAGCGTTAAATCCATACGGAGCTGTCGGAAATGATCCTCGGATGAGTGGCTCCTACGCTGCTGCTGCGCCCCAGCTTCAGCGGGGAGAACGGTGGAGCTAGCGAGTTAGCATGTGCTCGGTATGCTGCACAGCTGTCATTCGGAGGGAGGGGGGATCATAGGTACTGACATTTAACGTGGTTCTATATTTATTCATACTGTTTCGTTTGAATTATTTTAAGTGTGTCTTCTGTCACTTTTATAAACAATATTATTTCTCACAAATGTGGCTACAGGCTGATGCCTTTAACGTCACATGATTACAGTCCAGCCGGGGCGCGAATCCTGGAATGAAACATATGAATAACCTTTTGCTGCCTTCTCTTTCAACAGCCATTTGAACACAAAACAGTAGCAGCCTTTTGTTTTTACGGCCAAAGATTGAGCAGGAAATGGGCAAAGATCATAGATATATATGATATGTCAAAATGTCAGCACCATTTCCACGCTAACGCACGTCGCTCACGAGCCTCCGTGTGGGCGGGGTTTCGGAACCAAATAAAGAGGTGCTGTCTGGCTTATGTCATCCAATACTAATGAATAATAATAGTAAAACATTCCATCTGTGTCATAACTCACAAAACAGACTTAGAGAGTGGTTTAGCATAATTAATGAAAACCAACAAGCATAAATGTGAAGGATGTGGAGAAAAAGAAAATGTAGAACACGTACTGATAAACTGTAAAACTTACGAACATGAAAGGGAGAAATTGAGAAGGATGGTTGGAAGGACAAGCAAAGAATGGAGTCTTAAAGGAATATTGGGAAATTAAGGAAATATAAAGGATATTCACAGGTTAAGGAAAGCAGTATTTATTTATCCACAGAATACAAAATTAAAAAAGTAGAATTTGATGTAAAGTAATGTTGCTACTAATGAGACAAAAAGAAAAACTTTTATGATCTTTCTATCATTCTTGCTATCAGGCTGTAGAAAAGAAGCCCAGGTTCCAAAAATCACCCCTGGAACATTCTTTAGAGGGCTAAATCTGAGAAGAGGAATGAGATTCATTATCCAGGGGAGGCTCTGAAATTTGTCAGTTGGGGTGTTTTTTGCATCGGACCCTGATGCTTCCTGGTCATCTCACTTAATAGTTTTTTCAAGAATGTCTCATTGAGAATCCAGGCATTTAAGGCTTGAGAATTCCTTGGATCTACCAGAATGAGCTGGATAGTATGGAGGGCGATAGACGGATAACATAGGAAATAGCTTTTGGGTAAGATGTTTGGCCAAAAAAAAAAAAAGCAGTGTACAGAATATTTCCAACACAGAAAACAGTTCAAATGTAGGATCATAAAGTCCCCTACTTTGGTCTTCTGTTAGCTTTTAAGACTGTTTGCTGCCTCATCTGAAAATATAATGATTAGAGCATCAGGCTCATTTCAAGAGCTGTGAAGAAGCTAAAGGACAAAATTGTTGTAACAACATCCATATTATAAACTTTATCTTGAAACATTAGGCAGATGCTTTTAGTCTTGTGTCTTTTTAGGTTTACAATGCTGAAAAAAAGCCTTTAGTCACCAATATGCAGTCTTGTTCCCCTTTAAAGTCTTTTAAAATATATATATATATATATATATATATATATATATATA